AACGCCTGTCGTTCTTTTTATCAACATCACTAGAAAAGTAGTATTTCCCCTTTTCGTTCAGTTTCCAATTTTTCTAAAAAAAATAATTCAAACTAACTATACGCGGAGTGATAAAAGCAGTAAGCTATTACTTCCTTTGCAAATTCCAGAAAGGAACTCATGGCACTGCTGTCCACGAAATACAGCAGACGCGCAGCCTCATCAGCTGTAAGTTCTTGGTACGACTTTTCTATGCTCACAGCGATTTCATTTCTGAAACGTAGCACATATGCTGTACCATAAGAAAATCAATTAAAAGCAACAAATAATAAATTTTCATAGTGGCATTACCAAAATATAAAAAAAATCAGGTAAAAAATCATTTAGATAAGAAACTTTTAACTGAGACGATGCCGCTGTTACGTCCGGATGAGAAGGAAAGAAAACTGACGAGATCTGACAAAATTTAGCCTACTGTCTCATGATATTGCAGTTATCCAAATATATACCTGCCCAACAGTATTCCGGGATATCAGACACCACGAAGGCTATCGAGGAATTGACGCAGGCTGCGAAAACTTGGCGATCAGAATCTACTTTACGCCTTCTGGGGAACGAGAGCGCAGCAAAAGGACGACGCGTGTCAAAGAACGACAAAGAAAGTCATGACATAAGTCAGCAACGGAAATGATAACTAATTTGAAGGGAGACAGACAGCGTAACGCCATTACAGCAAATCTGAAAAGGTTCCACGGAAACGATGTCGACAATGGGAGCTCATGAGTCAAAAATATCCCCAGAAGGAAAGAGCAGGAGCTAGTTCATGAATCCGCAAGGTAGGTACTAACTCGACACTGCTCTGAGAAGTCATTGAAATGGGTCAGTGTTAGTGCAATGAACACTGAACCGATACCTAATATATGCAATATAATAACTTGTGACTGGATCGGTAGTCTTCATACTCCTTATGATGTAACTGAGTATCTGCATTATAATAATAATATAAAATTATATAATATAT